CCTAATATATATGGAAACAAAGATGATAATAGCTGGAGGCTAATTTATACAGAGAGTGGGTGGAATCAGGAGAGGTGGGTTGTACTTAAGAAGGATGATAACCACTATGTGATCGGTGAGGGGGCTGAAATCAGCTTGGAGTCCACCAGTTTTGCAGCAATAATGGAGATACTGTTTGACCATTCAAACTAAAACAGAGACTCATGGTTTGGGAGGGTATTCGTGGTTCATAGATGTTGGATTTGCAGCAGTTTGTTATGAAGGCTGGACATTGATTTGGATGAGAGTGATCCCCTAAAAAATTTTAAAAATATAGTTAATTTTTGCATGAATTTCTTTGTGCAGGTGATCTTCTAACTGTGTTTATAACAACCTAATGAAAAATTACCTGAATAAGGTAGCTTTCAAGGCCTTGATGAGCCTATAAGCAAGCATTCTATCATCTTGAACAAATATGAGCTACAAACGAGACCGTTTATGAGGTTAACTTTGCTTAGTGCTGGTGAACCTTGTCTTGCTAGTAATAAGGTTTGAAAATCCATTCAGCATTGTTTGCTTCTTTTTTTTAAGGAATCTAAACCTTTTTTTCGTGATGAAACATAAATAATTTTTGTGGACACAGCCTATGGTATTATTTGGTTATAACCAAGTCATGTTTCTTTCAAACTCCCTTACTCGTTTGTCCTCATTTGATATATTGCTATCTTTTATAATTGTCAATAAGTTGCAAATACATCTTCAAATTTATTTGTTTAATTAAGTTATTAATCATATTCATATGCATGCATCTATTATTTTGTCAACATTAAATATATTTATTTATTATTTTTTTAGAGGCATCCAAGCTTGGATATGAAAGGTTAATGGTTGATGTTTAGTTAATAGCCAATCATAAAATTCATGCTAAAACTACATGAATGCGAAGTTTTTTATGTTAGATTGTTCTCCAAAAACGACATGCCATGGCCTAACTCAATTATAATGAGAAGTAGATAAGTGTTTGTTAGGGTGTTACTCCTAAGTGATGTACCAAAAATTTATCTGATTGTGATAAATAATAGAAAAGAATTGGCTAGGATGCACCTTTTGTAACTTGCTATAGCTTAATTCAATCATAGTGATAAGTAAACTAGGGTCAATTAGCTCTAAATCTTAGATTAAATTTGTTATATTGAATTTAGTGTCTTTGAATTGGAAGATAAGAGAATTGGTGGATATTATATTTAGAAAAATGACAAATATGGATTGTTTATTAAAAATTGAATTAATATGATAAAAATCCAAAAGAAAAAAAAACATGGGTGAAGTGTCTTAGTTATTGTATGTTGAAAAGATTAATAATATAAATGGAATGGAGGTAATAATGGACAGACAATTAAATGGTGAAGTTGTCAAGGTGAAATGTGTTGGTTATGCGGTGATGGATAGGATATTATGAATATGTTTGTGTTTTTGTTCCTTAATTTGGATTATAAAATATTTAAAATAATAATTTTGGGAAGAGATGGATGAGCTACTTCAATGTATGCCTAAGGAAGAAAAGATATTTATTGGAGATTCATGCTAATTATTTGGAAAAATATTCATTAGAAAGATATAAAAATAGTATGAGAAATTATATTTGGTTTCACAATAGATTCTGGTTTTGTAATAACATTCACATTTTAAGAATTGGGAAGATGACCTAATTATTTGGAAAGAAATAAAATTCTTACAAATATTGTAAGGTGAATCTAAAAGAGTTTGAGCACATAACATAGAATATTTGTTATGGATGTATATCTTAAGATTATGAAAAATAATAAAGAGATGACTAGTTTCATTAAAAATATTTTTGTAGGAGTTTTTATAGAGTTTACAAACAGACCATTCAATTGCACAGAAAAAAATATTTTGGAAGGGCATAATAAACAAAAATAATGAGATATATTATAGATTGAACTAAAAAAATGGAGTGAGGTAGCTAGCTCTGATAAATCAACTTATGGCAAATACAATGAAGTTATGAGAGTGGAACATATGTTTAGAAAAATTATATCAATATTAGAGATTCAAGTTGTTTTCATGCCCCATAAGATTAATTCTAAAAGTGATTTTTGTTTTAAGTAAATTATAAATCATAGACAGACAAAAGATCTTTATATATTTTTTATTAATCTTGAGAATGTGTATGATCAAATATCATATGAATTGATTTGGTGCACATCACTACATATCAAAGGTAATTTGAAGTTATTAAATATAAGAATGATGGATGACTGATTAGTACTAGAGGTTGTTGTGGTGTGATCAAAGAGTTCTCAATTTTAGTAGGATTACATTAAATATCAATATTGAGTTTATCAGTTTTTTTATTTATTATGAAGGTTTTAGTGGATGAAAATTTTAATCATTAAGATATTCAATAATATACGTGAAAGTTTAGAATAATGAAGAAAATATTTAAAAGATATCATGCTTAGAATTAGTATAACAAAGATAAATAATTTGATATATAATTTTAGTATGTGTGATATGAATAATTATTTATCAATATTAGTAAAGATAAAGTGCTGCTTAGTCTGGCAGGTAAGTATCTTCGTCCTATTATATTGAAGTTTGAAAATTTAGATGAAGATTTAACTTTTTCAGTTAAGACTAGATGGTTAAAATGAAGAAGTGCCTCAAGAATAATATGCTATAAGAAAATACGATGAAGATCAACATATAAATTTTATAAAATTATAGGTAGGTCCATAATATTGTATTGATTTAACTATTTAAGTATTAAATAGTCTAATGTTTGTGGATATCCAACCAACAACTTTAATGTGATAGAAATAAAAATGTTAGCATGGATGCTTGGCAGAACTAAGGACGATATATTAATGAATGATTATGTTAAGAGATTGATTCGAGTGACACTGGTTGAAGATAACTAAAAATAACTTTTGGACAGTACTTTGAACATTTGAAAATGCACTTATTTGGTGAATATATATAATTAGTGCGATAGAATTTGGAAGGGTAGGCCAAAGGTAATATGGATAGAAATTGTTTAAAATAATTTGTGAAGTATAATTTTAACATCTCAGGAATCACGTAGTTGAAATGATTGAAAAATGAAAATTCATAAAGCTAAACCATAAATAGTTGAGATAAGAATACATAAAAAGCCTTTTTCAACCTTGTTAAAATGTCTATTAATCTTACTGGATGGCACTCAACTTCATGTTTTCTAGCTAAAATCAGTCTTTTGTAGGGCTAATCCTATGATTCTCAGACATGGCACTAGGTTGATTTTGCTGGTCTTCCCTAGTTTTGATGTTTATATATTCAAAGTGTTTTTGTTTAGGGGTGCAAGCGAGTTGAGTTGAGCTCGAGTCATCCTAGACTTGAGCTTGAGCTTGAGCTTGATTAATTAATTGAGTTCGAGCTCGAGCTTTATTTCACGAGTCTAGGACAAAATGGTAAAAAGAGAGAAAATGTTTATGATTCAAATAATTATTATAATAAAATGGTAAAAAGAATGAAAAATTAGAAGAAAAATAATGAAGAATCACTTAATATAAAGAAAGGGAGATGTAAATTATAAATATTTTTTAACAATTTTGTACTTAAAATCTTGAATACTAATATATCTTAGGTGCATTTATAACAAGTCCAGTTAGGGCTGGCTCAAGCTTGACTCATTAGTTTATTGAGTTCAACTCACGAGCCGGCTTGACTCACTTACACTCCTATTTTTGTTAGAATTTTATCAAATATCTCTGCCATCTCTTTTGAGCTTTCCACCTTTAGATTGGAAAATTGTAGGAGGGATCTATCTAGCATTTATATGCATTTTGCATTAATCTATTGCGTCCAATGAGGATGTATTGTTGTGTATCATTTTGACGTATGGGAATTTATTGAACTTTATATCTTCTTCAGCCTTATTACTAAGAGTTGTTGGCTTTATGTATGCTTCTTTAGTTTGCTATATGTGTCGAACACAGAGTATCATATCCCCATGGATTCTTTAGAATCTAAACCTAACTTTAAATCCATTTACTGATGATGTATCATCTTCAATGTTCATCCTGTTTTGGAACAGCAAAACGTTTCTTTTTTGGAGAAGCGTTTTAAGTGATATTATTAACGTAATCTACACTGATGCACATCTTCAGTGAGTATACCAATAATAAATGTGTTTACTTTGCCACTTGTCCATAAACTGCTTCATTATCTCCAATTGTTTAGGCTTTTTTTATCAAGACTAGGGGTTTAAGTGAGCCAAGCTGGCTCAAGTTCGACTCGTTAACGAGCTCGCGAGCAGAGCTTATCGAGCCACTAGCTCGAGCTCGAGCTTGATGAGGTTCGGCTCGTGAGCTCACGAGCAGACGCAAATCTCTATTAATGTTTTTAAATAATTTTTATTTATTTATTAAACTTAAAATTCCTGCTTGATATTCTCGCTTGGGTTTTGATATTCCTGAATCCCGCTTGCCAATTTGCTTGGGAGCTCGGAACGAAGTGGGCGCCTGCGTGGGAGCTTGCTCGGTCGCAGAATGTGGGTCCGTCTGCTGTGGATGACGGGGAGGCTCGCTCGGTCGAAGAAGGACGACGACGTGGAAGGCGGCCTGAACCCCCGAGGCTCGCAAGCCGGCTCGAGCTTGTTTAGAGTGGGACGAGCTCGAGTTCGAGCCGGCTTTTTTACTGACGAGCCGAGCTCGATAGTGCCATGACTCGACTTGACTCGTTTAGACCCCTCGTTAAGACTACGAAAGCTTTTTCTGCATGGTTACTTTTTCTTTGAACTTTTATGGCCTGAAATGATTTTTTCAAACATATAGTTGCTGCGATGTCATATCTAAAGGAATTTAAAGTAGCATGTTGCCATATGGATGCACCATTGATCAGCTGTGCAAAACAATTGCTTCCGCGAGTCTATTAAACAAACTTTATTTATCATCTCAAACAGTTTCATTCTAACTTTGAAATTGACATCATATTATCAATCTTGTATGCTTGAAACTCAGGGTCTTGGACCTGCTGGCAGTACAGCACAATATGGAGGGGCTCCTGTTCGTGCCGCCCCTGCTCCCTCTCGGCCTGGATATGATTCTGCCAGAAGCACTGGTTACGAGGCTCCTCGAAGTATGGGATATGATACATCTGCTGCTCCGCACTACGAAACCTCGAGGGCCCCCAGTTATGAGCCACCCAGAGGTTTGAATTATGATGCTACCAGAGGTCCCGGGTACGAAGCTCATAGTATGACCGGTGGAGCACAAGGAGCTGCAGCAACTGCAAATCCTGTTCCTCCTTACATGATGAATCAGATGCAGACACCCTATGGATCGGCGCAAGCCCCTGCAGCCTATGGAGGACATTTGCAAGCCACTTATGGGACCCCGCAGGCTTCTAACCGCTCTATAGGGGGTTATGAAGCACCAGCTCGCAATGCAGCTACAGGCGGCGGCGGCGGCGGCGGCGGCACAAATCAGGGGCACAGATGAGCATCAGTTTTGATTTAGCGACTAGTATTGGTATTTATACTTTTGTTATGGTTTGTCCTTTCATGGATTTGATCATGTTATATATCTACTTCAAACTTCGCTTACATTGCTTGATAGAGCTTGCTTACCTATCTGGTTTATTTGATTCTACTTCTTTATTTTATTGAAGAATTGCCTAGTCTGAAACGATATTGTTGGAGCATTTATGTGCTTTAATCAGATGAAATCAAAAAGTTGAACTGTACTTTGGTTTAAAGAAGAAACTGTTTGGTTTTTGTCATACAGTTTGATCTATTTCTATTTTTCCCTTTCAGTTTGAGTTATCTATGACTTTCTATTTATGTAAGTAATATCTAATTATAAAAAAATGAATTAGTAAATTCATATATTTAAATATAATAAATTAATGTTGCATTGGGAGTAAAAATAACTAATGTTGATTAAGAAAATTGCTTGGTCAAGACGGCAAGGGAGATTGCATGTTTCAAAAGTCTAAGTAAATGACAAAGAATAGGGGAATATATTAGGACCAAAAATTTGTCTATGGGGAAAATCGGAGTAGGATCAATAATGGCTATGGAAATGGAAATAGTGTGAGTCGATGAAGCGACCAACATATAGTACTATGGTATGGGTTGAAGTTTATCAAACTCTTTATTGTGATGCTCTCTCAGCTTAAGATTAAATGATAGATAAGAAGAGGCGATTGTTGAGCACCACTAAGTATTGTGAGAGCTTTAAGGTTCTAATGAGCTTGGAGTAGCGTAAATCCATTCTTGGGCTTTATTCGATATGTTACGCTCTGCTCTTTGTTCTATAATAACTCATGATTGAGCATGTATCACTTTGGCGCTTTATTCTTTGGCGCCATGATACACGACACATGATGGCATACAAATTGCGTGCATTTAATAAAAGAATAATAATTTATAACTTTAGTTTAATTGAGCCATTATAAAAGATTTATATATAACTCTATTAATATAATGATTATTGATAGAACAAGTGAAAATCAATATGAACAATGTTGTTACGTATGAGCAATGGAAATATGTATAAACATTGTAATTCATAATCAATAATTAATGTCCATATAAAGGATTAGTAGGTTATGTCATTCTTGTTTGCCCCAAATATTCCCCAAAAAAAAACATGGTTTCCAATGTGTAATTACGCAAACGCGCTCATAGTCCACGCAAATAAAAAGGATATTTTCGTCATTTGGTGAATCCTAAAACCCGCCATCACGTGATGCTGATTGATGTGGCTCATGGATCCATTTCCGTGGCACCATAAATTAATCAAAAGGACAATTATTGGAATCGTAGGACCCACCATCACGTGATGCCGATTTGTTGTGGCTCACGAATCCATTTACCGTGATACCATAAATTATTAAATTAACTCAAAGGACACATTTTCCAAAAACAAACAGAGAGTTAATAAATTTATATTTTTTAAAATATTAGGACAAGGATGGTAGAGAAAAATAAAGTTAGGGTTTCGTGAGAGCGCTCTGCTAGGGTTTCGTGAGCTCCTCTCCCGCCGCTTTGCTCCCGCCTTTTCTTCCTCCGGCAACGCCGGAGGCTTCCCACCATTTTTTTCCCATGGATTCCTCTGAGTTCCCCCCTCTTTCTTCTCGGGGGGTCCCTCCCTCCTCTCCCCAGCGCCTTTGGACGCACATCTTTGCTCCGGCAGCTCCCTCTCCCAAAGACTTTACTTTCTCGTTCCATCCTGAGGAACCTGAAATTATTCCGTTCTCTGGTGATAAGCTTGCTACTGGTGCGGATGACTGGAATCTGAGTCTAGTTGGCTATTCGATCGGTCGGAGACCCTTCTACGAAGCTTTGCTGGGCGCCATGAACAGAACCTGGGCTCTGAAGGGAACGCTTCAACTTCTTTTTCTTAGTGACGGTTTCTTTCTTCTCCGCTTCTCCTATTCTGAGGACTATGATATGGTGTGGGCTAAAGGAGTCTGGTCCCTTTTAGGTAAACCATTCATCCTTCAAAATTGGCATCCCAAGTTTAAGCCTAAGAAAGAAAACTTCACGAGCATCCCTATCTGGATCAAGATTCACGATCTGCCATTGGCCTGCTGGAACTATGAGGGCATTTCTCGCATCGCTAGTAAGGTCGGAATTCCTATCGCTGCTGACAACCTCACCATTCAGAGAACTCGTCTCACTTTTGCCAGAATCTGTGTGCTCATTGACAATAAAGCGACTTATCCGGATGAGATCCCTGTTTCTCTGGACGGTGACATCGTCAATCTCAAAGTTCAATACGAATGGCGTCCCTCTCCCTGCTCTCATTGTAAGTCTTTAATGCATTACTCCTCGTTCTGTCCGCAAAAACCTGAAAACCCAAACTTGGAGCCTGGGACGTCCACTGTTGCAAATCAAACCCGTGGTAGGAGCTTCAGCAGGAAACCGAGATCCCGTCACCCCCATGAGCCACCTTATACCCGTCCTCCTAACGTTCAACTTAAACCACCTATGGAGCCTCACAAGCAATTACAGGAAACCCACTTTCCTCCCTCCAACCTTCCTCCTGACCCTTCCCCCCACGCTCAAGTTTCAACTACACCCATGATTACTGACCCCCCACCCACAAATAGCATTGGGCTGCCTTTGCTATACCAACCCCATTCTCCCACCTATCACCCCATGGATTCTGCTAAGCCAGCAGATCCGCTTAACATTCCCACCATTCCAGCTGTTGGACCTTCTTCAATTCCAAATTTGAACTCTCTCAATGATGTTTCAGAAGATACTTCTTCTTCTTGTAATTTACAGCAGAAACCTGTACCCATGTCTCAAGGGGTCATCTCTCCCAATCGGTTTGATATGCTTCAGGTGCAGGAAGATTCTTCTTCCTCTATGGATGTTGCGGAAAATACTGAGTTTGTGAATGTCAAAAACTCTAAAAACAAGCAAGGCACGATTTCTGGCACGTCTAAAAAGTCCACTAAGGGGAAGCAAGCCAAGAAGCCTTCTCCCAAAAATGGTTCCCGATGACTTTGCCGTCCTTAGCTGCTTGGAATGTCAGGGGGTTCTCCCGCCCTGATAAAGTTTTGTGTTGTAAGCGTTTGGTTTCTTCCTTTAATCTTGATATGATTTGCATCTTAGAGAATAGAATTTCTCCGTCCTCTCTTAAAGACCCTTTCTTTCATGAGGCCCACTCTGTTTTTGCCCACGAGAATAGTTGTCACAATTTTGATAAAGCTTCGCCTGGCCGTATTTGGGTTAAATGGAATGCGGATCACATCCATTTTCAGCCCACTTCTGTTGCTGCACAAATAATCTCTGGTGTTGTCACCTCACGAACTGGTCTTCTTTTTAACATCTCTGTTGTTTACGCCTCCAACTCTAGCAAAGATCGGTTGGATCTCTGGCCTCTTATTGCTAGCTCTACTCCTCCCAATGATACTCCTTGGCTTGTTTTAGGAGATTTTAATTGCTGTCGATTTGAGCATGAAAAAATTGGAGGTACCTGCATTTCTCATAGGAGCACTGCCGACTTGAATACCATGATTTTTGACTGCTGCTTAATGGATTTGCATTCTGTTGGTTGCAAATACACCTGGTTTAACCAACGCACGGATAATCCCATACATATTAAGCTCGATAGAGCCTTGGTGAACAATGCCTGGTGTAGTATTTTTCCGTCATCGTTTTGCTCTTTTCAGAGCCCTTCCTGCTCTGATCATAGTCCAATTGTTATTCTTCCTGGTGTGGTTAGCCCTTCAAAACATAGATTTATCTTCAAGAACTACTAGACTAAATTCAATTCTTATTGGTATCTTCTTTTGGAGAATTTCTCTATGCCCACTTCTGGGAATCCCCTTGCTAATTTCTGCAGCATGTTAAAAAGGTTTAAAGGTGGGATTAGAGCTGAAAAGTGGTCTAATGCTAGCAATATTAATGCTCATTTAGAGAAGCTTCATCTGGTTCAAAAGGCCACGATTGAGAAAGTTCATGAAGACTCGTTCAACTCTCTGTTAAATGCCTCTCTCAAAGAGATAAATTCCTCCATCTCTGACTTCTCCTCCTTGATGGCCTCCTGGGTTATCCAACGTGCAAAAATCAACTGGCTTAAAAACGGGGAGGACAACTTGAAGTTTCTTTATCAAAAAATCAGAAACAGGAAGAGAAAAGCTCTTGCTGCTGTGAACTTATTACATACTCATTTCCCTGCTTCTAACTCTGTCTCTAGCATTATACAGCATTTTCAAGATCTTTACAATCCTCCTGCTTCTTCACTAACGGACTTTAGTAACTTCCCTACAGGCTCTATCATTCCAGAACATTTTATTACTTCCCTTTCCCAGCAGGTTTCTTCTGCTGAGATCAAGGCTGCGATTTTTTCTGGATCTTCCACATCCACACCGGGTCAAGATGGTTTCAACTACTACTTCTATAAATCTGGATGGCATATCTTAGAGCCTATCATCTGCAAAGCCATCAGATCTTTTTTTGAGAAGGGGTACATCCCTTCTGGTGTTAAGGCAATGGCTCTCGCACTCATCCCCAAACATAATCATGCTTCCACTATTTCCGATTTCAGACCCATTGCTTTATGCAATGTTACTTACAAAACCATTGCTAAGGTTATTACCAACAGGCTTGTGCCGATTATGCCTTACATTGTCAAGCACAATCAAGCTGGTTTTGTTAAATCCAGAGTCTTCACTTGTTGCTCAGATGATGAGCGAGACTCAGAGCAGAGCTTCGACTGTTAGATCTGAAGACATTGATCTAACAGATAAAGGTGGCTGATTACTTATTTGGGTATTCCCCTCTCTTTCTATACCCTAAAGGTGGCTGATTTTCTACCCTTAACAGATAGCCTGACCAAAAATCTTTTTGGCTGGAGTGCTCATCTTCTTTCTTTTGCGGGGCGTCTGCAATTTCTGAAATTTACTATTCAAAACTCTATTGCTTATTGGATCCGGGGCTCAATCATACCTAAAACTGTTTTGAGGTTTTTTAAGAAAATCTCCTCTAAATTCCTGCTTTTTGGAGATATGGATAGCAAAAACAAGATGCATATGATTTCGTGGGATAAGATCTGTCGGCCCAAGTTGTATGGTGGTTTGGGCATCCCCTCTTTGGCTGCCTTACAATATGCTTTTAATTGTTCTGTGATATCTAGAATGTATAACTGTGAATCCCCTTTGTCTGCTTGGCTCCTTCAAAGGTATATCTCCCCTTGGCGTCCACCTCCGGTTTATTCCTCTAAATTTTGGAAACTTATTTGCTGTACTGCTAGTGAGGCAAAACACTTCTTTAGCTTTAATATTTCGGCTATTGCTCCTGTCTCTTTGTATTGGGACCATTGGTGTATTAATGATGCGTTCGCTGGAAATGGGTATGGCTACCAATTCTTCACTGGTACCTCTGCTAATACCAGGCTGATGGACTTTATTATTGATAATACCTGGAATTTACCTCACTCGCTGCCTGATTCTGTTAAGCAGCAAATTTCTGATTTGCACATTCACGAATCTGCTACTTGTTTAGTTTGGAAAAACTCAGGTGCTGGCATATTTAGAGATTATGTTAATGGTTTCTATTCTAATATGGACATATGTCCTTGGGCTAATCTCATATGGCATAAAGGGGCTGCTTTACGTTTCTCTGTTTATGTCTGGATGTCTATCATGGGGGCTCTGAAAACTGCTGATGCTTTGTCTAAACGCAACATTTTGGTGCATCCAGTTTGTAGCCTTTGCAATTTGCAACTGGAATCCTCTATGCATTTGTTCTTTGAATGCCCTTTCTCACATTCCACTCTTATTCATAATATCCCGGTTGCAAAAAATTTATTAATCAGGCCCACCGTGCTCCACTTGTTTGAATGGATTGATAGTTGTTATGCCTCCAGATTATCTGAGAAGAATTTTTTTCTTCTTATGGCTAGCTGCACCATTTATTTTGTTTGGAAAGAGAGGAATGACAGGAGATTTGGGTCCTCATTTAAATGCTCTAAAACTGTTGCTTTAAATGTTAGAAGTTCGGTTTATGAGAAAATTACTAATTGGAAAGATGCTGGGAAGCTTAAAGAGTTGCTGTAACGGGCTGTTCCTTCCGTCCCGACGTCCTGCCTTCGTTTTTGTCTTGCCTGAGGGATTTTTGGCCTTGGACGATGATGTTTCCCTTATCAGGCACTCCTTGGACGGCCTTCGGGCAACCAGGAGGATTTCGCTGCTCACTTTACGATTTTCTGCTACACTGAGTCCAAGCCTTTTCAATTACACCTTTTTGAGTTTTGTTACAAATTGTAATTTTTTGGGGGGTATAGCTGGTATACCATTTTTGCCGTTTTGTGTAATTGCTGGGCCAGCCTTTGTTCTTAGGCTTTGAGGTCCTTCTTTTTCTTCATGTAATCTCCTCTTTCTTTTTAATATACGGGCTTTGCCCAAAAATTTCCCAAAAAAAAAAAAAATAACATGAGTTTGTGAGGTACATGGGATGAGGCTCTAGTGGATTGTTTTGGACTGATTCCAACTAAATATAGGAGAATGTAAGTGGGCTTTAAGGATGCAACAAGTCTATGAGGGATCTTTGGCTAAATGATGTGGATGATAATAACAGTCGTCAAAGTTTAGATATGATATCACTTGAAATCAAATCTCCTAATGAGAATCTATGCTGAATCATACATACACTTTTTTTTTTTGCCAAAACACTTGAATCACATATACATCTTTTACAGAGGAATAAGTTAGGCTAAGTTATAAATTAATCTCCAGCTCAGAATATAACAACCCGACACTACATGAGTTGAATGTACTCAAATAATCGAATAATAAATGCATGAGGAACCCTAGGTTAGAAATCCATCATTTAAGATATGTGAAAACTGCTATGCTTAAGGCACAGATATATTTCTTTGACTTCGTGATGACTTCCCCTAAATATGAAAAAAACATGATTTAAAACTTGAAATGATAAAAAAAAACTAATATCTGAAATGATGAAAAACTGAAATAGGGAATCTATAGTGATAAAGAGCTGAAATATGAAATGATGAAAAGCTGTCCTTAATGGAGTGCTCATTTGACTTAGAAGATAGAACAACTTTTTTTTTTAGAATCTGTACTTCAAATCCTGGAGGCAAATAATATTTTGATGTTATAAGAGACCTGAACCAATAACGGATTGAAGAAGGCGTTGAAGGAAAGTTGCTACAAGAGGTGGTTCGTGGTAGAAAAGGAAACGGGCAGGTGGAAGACTACAAGCGGCCTGATCAGCTGATTTGGACGCTCTTCTTTAGATTGATGTGTAGGATTCAAGGACGTGGAAGAGATATCTAGCTCGTATGCTGAAGAGACCGGAGGTTGCTGGAGTTGTGGCTTGGTGTCGTGAGATTGAGGGAGGCCGGAGATTGCCAGAGCTCTAAAGACGGTCGTGGGGAGTTCCTGGAGCTCGGACCGAGTTTTGAAGGCGTTGGGGTGTGTAGAGGATCCAAAAAGGGAGAGATTGAGCGGAGGTATATGGCTTTTTGGACTGGCCTCCAGCTTCGAGTGAAAGAACCACCCTTAAACAATGCTCATTTCTTGTTTTGACATTCGCTAAAGGCCAACTGTGAAGTCAGAACAGGTAGACTTGAGCTAAACAAGGTAATAAATTAATTAGCATTTGACTTTTCCTTGTTTTGATACCTGCTCTTTGTTCAAATTTAATAAGTTAATATCCATTCTAATGATATGTCATTAGAACATTAATTTAAAATGACAGGATTGTACTAATAAGTCAAAAATCCTCTTAATTTGTGTGTTGTTCTCGATCTACGTGCAAATTTCTCTTGGTTTGTGTGCTGAGCGCCTCGTTTTGCGTGTATTTTTGTCTCGTTTTACGTGCCAAATTCGTCGAACATCGGAATTAGACAAATTTAATAATAGTGGATTTAGGGTATTGCTGATGTCCCGGTCGCAACGGCGTAGTCCATTTTGAGATCGGACGTCGTTTGGGCGACGACGAGGCTTAGTTCCCTCGTAATGCATGTTTTCGCAACATATTTGAATCCCCTTTGAGATTTACGACACGACCTCAAACCATCGAATTTGATCAAATAAAATATATATTATGAATTTTGACGACGTTCCGGATGCAATGGCGCTATCTGTTTGTTGATCGGACATCGTCTTAGCACCTTCGAGGCCTTGTTTCCGTCATAACGCAGGCCTTCACATCATGTTTGAGCCGCCTTTGAAATTTTTAACACTTCAGACGATCCAAATTCATTAAATAAAATGTATGTTCTGAATGTCGGGATGTTCCGGACACAATGACGCTGTCCGTTCATCAATCGGACATCATTTAGGTGACGACGAGGCTTAGTTCCCTCGTAACGCGTGCCTTCGTAACATATATGAATCATTCTTTGAAATTTACGACACCACCCCAAATGATCCAATTTAATCAAATAAGATGTAGACTTTTAATGTTGACGATGTTCCGGACGCAACGACGTCATCCGTTCTGCGATCGGACGTCATTTCACCACCGACGAGGCTAATTTTTCTTCATAGCCAAAGTGTTAAGAAAGATAATGACTATATGTCATTGGTGATGATTTGGGTGGCATGTGAATACTCATCCTCGATAACGAATAAGAGGTGCGAAAGATCCACGGGATATGACTGACAATTAGACAATGGGGTTGACGATATGAGATAGTTGGGGAAGAAGTGTCTATAATATGCTTATTATAGATTTTTATATATTTTTAATATACTTTAATATTAATAAGAAGCAAAATTTTTATATATTTATTGTTCGTTATAAAATATTTTTTAATTATACTTTTAGTTAAATTAGATATGAAATGTTTCGTCGAAGAGTAGTTGAAATAGATGAGTATAATAATATATAGTCTAAATAAATTTATGTTGAAATTGATTTAGATGATCATGAAAATAAGTTTTTTTTTTCAACATTATAAAATTTCTCTTCTCATAATTAACATCTATAATTAAAAAAATTTAAAACATAATGTCAATTTCAAGCTCAAATGAAAGAACTTGATGATATTTTTAAAATTAAAAATTTGTGCCTCCGCCGATAAAAATTCCTTGCTCTGCCACTAAATGCTACACTTAGAAAAATGACATTTGTCCATTTTGTTCTAGATGTTTCATTCACTCATATTTGTACATAATATAATAATTTAAAATGATTTATCTTATGTTCCATTGTTTATTATTATTATTATTATTTTAAAACAAAACTAATATATTAAGATAAACAAAAAACGGTTACAACAGCAATTGACCAAAAATAAAAAGAAAGAAGGCAAAATACAATAAAAAAGGGCTCAGTAATCGACTGAGGCTCCCAGCATCCCCGAAGCCTCGCACGGACCATCAATTAAGATGAAGACAGCGCCAAATATCTAATTAACTCTAAGAACAACACCAAAGGTTGCCACCAGCTCGACGACAAGGACACGAGCCTCATTTTATCCACCCGCACCCACTCAGCATTATTGTCCACATTCACAGCTGGTTTACACGAAACCTCGATCCAGACGACGGAGCTGCCGAATCATCAATCACAGCCATAACAGGGAAACTATCCACAACATTACTAATATTAACACCAATAGGAGTAATAAAGGGAGCCGAAACCACCCCAACCTCATTACCAGGTAAAACATCACCCCCCAACCCATCAAAAGAAGCCATCAGAATAGGGGACCCCATATCATCAAGAGAACAAAACGGAGATTCAACAAAGGGCAAGGCATCAACCTCCACAGCATTAATAGCAATATCACAATTCAAAACTCGTAGAACCGAAGGAACTTCACCATTTACCACATTATTATCACAAAGAGGGACAAAGTTAACAATCAGAATAGAAGAAATAACAGAGATACCAGAATTCACTAAGGGATTAGAAACAGAGTCCATCAGCGGTGGAGCCCATACCACAACCGGATGTAAATTAGGAAATAGCTTAGAACATTCCGACTTCTTATGACCCACAGCCTTACAATGCTGACAGAAATTGGGCACACCTTCAAAAACAACTCTTTGAACATACCCAAGTTTCTCTGGACCCAGCCAAACAGATTCAGGATAGGTTTTAGAAATATCAATTTCAACAAGAATACGTGCGACTGAGGGACGCGAGCCAACAGCCGTGGCATTGTCGATTTGAATCGGGCGACCAAAAATAGAACCCAACCCAAAGAGAATACGAGAAGAAAAAAAGGTGAGGACGCAAACCTGGAAAGGAAATCCATACAGGGACTATCGGCGACTCCTCCGAAAGGTCCAGGAGAGGCGACCACTTAACAACTTTCATGAAACAGCCATAAACGAAGTAGAAACGATAAGAAAAAACCCTACTATAGTCAAGATCATTTGAAAGCTTGATCAGAACATTTGACTGATCCAATAAAGTAACAGAAAAATCACCAGATAACTTACGATTGAAAAAAAACCTACGGATTGAATCCAAAATTGGCCGTTTAAGGGGAAATTTCCCCACTAAGGCAAACTCAAAAGGTTTAGCAAGATGCAAAAATTCATCTTCCGAAAACCATAACGCTGGCATACCCCGAATCGTAGAGACGCGAAAATCCGGAAAACTCTTCGAATCAACGGAACCAGACAACACATCTTTGAAGGATTTGGAGTGCTTACCCTCAAGAAAGCCAGGATCCAACCTTTTATTCGCCATGAAAAAAGAGGATTTCAGAGACGGAGGCGGCTAGAGCAAAAGCCCTAGCGAAGAGGGAAAAACCTAGCAGACAACTCGCGTGAAACATCTCTCATAATGTACGACCTTTAAAGAAGAAAAAAGTTATCTTATGTTCCATTGTTGTTGTTCCAACCTATACTTGTTTCTTGTATGTAAAAATTTAAGTAAAAGTAAATAATGCGAGTATTTGAAAAATAAATATCATTAAATGAAAAACAATATAACTTCTAATTGTCATTTAATTGACATTTTATAAACTTTAATAAGGTTATTATAAATATAAACTTAAAAGTATTTATTTAACATAATTATAATATATAAATATAATATAGTATATTTGATTTTTGTTACTAATGTATTTAATTTAATAGTTTTCAAATACATTACTAAAGTATTTAATTTAAATACATAAATATGTTACAATTTAATTATGCATATTATACATGATCATTCTTGACACGTCATCAAAAAATTATCTTGATCGGGCACGAATCTCGATGCAAAATTAAGTTGAAAACTTCAAAAATTAATTCGGAGA